ATATATATATATATATCTAATAAAAAGAGAAAATAGGTACAATATTGAATTTGATATTTAAAAAATTTAGCATGCATTTATAATTTATCACTTTTATTTTAACAAAAATTTCATAATATAAATATAAAAAATGTATGAATTACCTATTATAATTGTTTTTTGGAAAGTGTAACTTACACACATATTTTAAATCACACTCATACACTACTCCTTTTGTATATCACGATACTTGAATTCTCGAATACTTAGAAGAAGGACAACGCTTCAAACACATTATTATCGCTATGCCAAAGACTTTTGGTATCTATTATAATTGTTATTTTTAAATGAATAATATAATAGTAACAAGAATATGATATTTTAAAATTACAATAATAAATGCATATGCTTTTTGTATCATTTTTTGTATGTGCCATTAGGGTGGACAAAATGGCTGTCGTCAAACCACGACAAACCCTCTGAAGTCGCTGGTCGCGAGGTATACATAATGATGTTCCCGCTGAACCCTGTGATGTCAGATCCTTCCTAACCCGTCTCCCTTATTTCATTCTTTAGTTCCAACATACTTCATATTGTATAATACGTCTGGAACACCTTTTGTTGGTATTGGTACAGGTGGAATGTTGTTCACATCGGTGACGGTGTGCCCCTTTGGAGCCACCTCATCCAACCCGGAGGCCACCACAGCCGATTCCATTCCCACCACCCTTAGAGTTGAAAAGTATTTAATGCTAAAAAAATCATGTTTTGTTGTTACTTGTGATATTATGGTTGGAGTTTCTTTTATACCAAACAAGGCATGCATTAATGTTTTTTTTTCTCAGAGAAGCAACAAATACATTTTCTTACTAATGTAGAAGATTTATAACCTAAAACCTATATTATGCATTTTTTACCAATGTAGAAAATTTATAGCTTAAAACTTGTATAATGTTGATGTCAAGCCGGTTGTTCTATAACCGTGAATGCATTCAAAACTGCTTTAATATTTTTATGAAAACCCTCCAAGTTGATCCCTCACGAGCTATTGTCGAATCCCTATATAGCTTAGGGAATGAGGTTATTCCACTAATACATGTATCTATAAGACTTTTTTTTTAAAAAAACATCAGTTCGTTTAAAAAATTGAAAGAAACACCAACAACCTTCAAAATATTAAATATTTAGCTCATTCAATTTGATAAAAAAAGGTAATATTTTAAATCTTTAAAAATCACATCCTAACAAATCACATAACAAACCTCAAACTCGTATTTCATCTTCAAAAAGACATAACAAATCAAATAAAATCCAACAAATTTTCGTATATCTAAAAATTTAGTCACCGGTAAAAGTTTAAAATTTAGTTTCTAAATCTCAAAAGACAAAAAAAGAAACATTTGTCATCACCGTACGTCATCACAATACCATCATTGTCTCTTTGTCACCGACTAATAAAAATGTTGCTTTCAATTGTTATGCCGCCTTTCTGATCGAATCGTCCTTTCGCCTCTCACGGTCTTACTACAACGAATGACATAAAAAAGGAAAAAAAAAAGAAATTTCTTCTCTTCCGTTGTCACAAGAGGCATAGAATCTATGATCGTTTGTCAAAAAATATCCCACTAGAGGATAAGATGCAATCAAGGAGTGCCATTTTCAAAACTATGTATCACTACTAACCAACGATCACACTCATCCGTCGGATCCAACCACTTAGGTTATCACAATATTTATGTATGTATCACTACTAACCAACGATGACACTCCTCCGATGGATTCCAACCACTTAGGTTATCACAATATTTACTCTCTCTCTCTCTCTCTCTCTCTCTCTCTCTCTCTCTCTAACGGATTTCAACCACTTAGGTTATGACAATATGTTCTAGGTTAGTTGTCTAAAATGGGTTTTTGGTAAAATTATTTCATCCAAAATAAAAAAATTTGTATTAATCGATTCGAAAATATCATTTTGTGAGAAAAATATATTATGATAATTAAAATAGTCTGAAATAAATTAGGTTTAATCCAAATACCCCATTTCAGACGAACAACATTTTTGAAAGTACCTAAAACATTATGCTAAGAAAATAAGTTACCATTTTAGTTAAATATTTTTGTTAATATTCCATAACTTTTATCTTCATTTATCTCTTTTAGACAAGGAAACTTGCACATAAAAATACCAAATGTTTGGTGTTATACAATATAACACATAACGATACCATAAAACATCTTGTGGTAAGTCATTATTTGGTAACATGTTAAATCATGATTTAATAGTTAAACCATTGATAATGAACTAAAATAGAAATTTCAATGGTGGGTTGGTTTTTTTACAAGAATAAACCTAAACTATACTAAAATAAAGTCCCACAATGACATAGTATCTACATGGTACTAACCGGTTAAAGAAGCAATTAATAATAATGAAATAGAAAAAGCAAAGTTGAGAGAGAGAGAGAGAGGGAGAGAGAGATAGATAGGTTCAGGTATTCTAACTAGTTATTGTGTGGATATAAGAATGATTGTGGACCAATCAAAATTATATAAAAAATTAAATAATTAACTAAACAATAAGGGTTATTTAGTAATTTGGTAAACGAATTCCATAAATAATCCCTATAATATTGCTACACTTTTAACCTAATTAAATAAATCTCATCTTCCTCCTTAATAATTCTACTCTTCCACCCGATAAAGCCATCCCCTGTCTAACTCGTCGTCGTACTAACCCTAGCCCACCCTTCCGCCATCATATCCCTCCTCTTGGCCAATCCTCTGTAACAATCCATACGCCCAAAACCCTCCATCTCCTCACATCTTGGCAGCCCATATGATCAAATTTCGGTATTAACAGACCCACGAAGCCCTAAATCCCATTACGATCGGGAGAAAAGTGCAGCAGCTGTGGTGTCGATCCAAGGAGGAAGACGAGGCAGCTACCTGTCGATCCATCGCGGTATGTAAAGTTGAACAATGATCAAGCGCCTGTCGACGTTAATCCGGGAGAGCTCAATCAGCCTATTGAAGTTCCTCAGGTTTGATCACAACATCTTTTGTGTACCAATTGTAGTTAGTTGACCGATCTGGTTAGCGTTCAAAGTAAACCTCTTCCGAAAATTCAAAATTTAGGGCTCTTTTCTGTGGTTTAGATCTTTCTTACCCCTCACCTACCGTTCTAATTTTTTTTTACTGTGGTTTAGATTTTTTTTTATTCCAGTGCTCTACTTCCACTACTTCCACTAAGCTGGAGACGGACAAACCTGGAGACGGACAAAGATGGAGACGAAGAACTGGAGACAACTTATCATACCCTGCCATTTTGTTCTGTTTGATCGAATCTTTTGTCAAATTATTTCAAAAACAAAGGTAAGTCAATGGCTTCTGATTAATGGAATTGGAATAGGAATCCTATGGTATCTTAGGCTGGAATTAGGATTCAGATTCATATTCCTTCTTAGGAACGAGAATCAAAGGTGACAATGATAGTGTTTTAGCATTTCTACAGATGTCACCAACCCCAATTACATTGTTTTTGTTTATAATATTGCCTTGAATTGATGTAATTTCTTGATTTTAAAAGATGAGGTGCACCTAATTGTTTAAACTTTGAATTATCTAACCATTTGTTTTTCAACAGAGTTGTAAAATGTAATTGTTCAAACTTTGTGTTATTTACTGTATTTTTTTTTGTAACAATTTTGGTAGAACTGTCAGCATTCTTAAAGAATATGAACTTGCTAAAGCTTCAAATATGAACTATTATGCAATAATGTAACATTGTTATTTTTTATATCAGTATATTCAATCAAAATTACTACAGTTTGTTTTATTATTTATCATATTAAATCATTCTCACTGATTTTTATTCTACATAATTTGATTTGCAGTTATTCTCATAGAAAGTGTGAAGGGAATGTGATGATCAAAGGCTTCAAGGTTGGATGATGGTGCATGAGATGGACAAGTCTATTCTGTCAGACTGATTAGCAACATATATTATATTAGAATGTATTAGTGTTTTACTTAGATTTCAATGTTTTATTCTTAAAGAATAAATGTAATTGTTAACCATTATATATATATATATATATATATATATATATATATATATATATATATACTTTCAGAATGAATGTCATGTGTGTATGTTTATAGTTGTATTTGTTAAGAATGAATGTAATTATTGATTTTAAGATATTAAAATTCTTTTTCATATAAAATTTGTATTCATTAAAAATAATTAATCTTGATAATATATGTTTATAGTATTTTGTCAGAATTTAATGTTTTTCTAAAGATAATCATAAACACATTCTTTTAGAATATCCGAATTAATATATTTATTATCAAAAAAATCAGATTTTTAAAGTTTAGAGAATTAATTATTCCTTAAAATTTGTAATATTCCTTTTTTAAATTTATGTTAATTGACTAAAATACCATTAGAATAAAATTAAATGGTATTTTTTAATTATCTTTAATTTAATAATATGTATTAATCACTTTCTTAAAATAAGTTAAATGATTGGCCCACATTCATTCCTTCATCCACACAATAATTAGTTAGAATAGAATAACCTATATATATATATATATATATATATATATATATATATATATATGGAAAAGTGAATATATCCTTAAAAGTATATAATCATAGGTACCTAAACCCACCATAATATGTCGTTTTGTATCATATATATATGCATTATAATGTTCTTAAACATTAATCTGAACTGTATATATATATGGAAAAGTGACTATATCTTTAAAGGTATATAAAGTTAGGTACACAAACCCACCACAATACGTCGTTTTGTATCATACATATGCATTATAATCTTCTTAAACTTAAATCCTTAACTTGATGTACTTTCAAGACTTTTGAAATTCACTATTATTTTTCTTCTTATAATACATCTTTTTGCCGAGCACGTGCTAGGAGATATATATATTATAGTTGAAAATAAAAATTATGTAAGATGAATGTTGAGAGAAAAACTTGGAGCCACACTTGAACAAACGTTAGAACAAGTGGATTGCGGAATAGTTAATCTCGAAGGATATAAAAGCTCAACAATAATATTAATAAGTTATAGTTAGATAGTTAGAGAGTTAGTTGCGGAAAAGTAAAGAAATAG